TGTCTTCTGTGGCTCTATTTTATTCTTTAAGGTTTTGGAACCAAGAGGAAAGCAAAACTGCACAAAATGTAAAAGATGTAAACATATACTAGATTTTATATATTTTTATAATATATATTTTATATATAATAGATTCTTTTTTACCTTGCTGTCTCTCTCCTTATGAATTCAGATGTTGTTTGCTTTTTAGTTTGCTTTTTGACTAGTTCTCAGCATTGAACTTTAAACATTTCTATTTTTATGTATGTAGTATTATTTGTAGACTAAACTTGTGAAAAAGGATGCTAAAGGAATGCAGAGGTGATTTTACACCGTGAGTGAGGATGGGCTAATGATTGTATGTAACCTTCTCAGGAAAAACACTGATGGCAGCTGTAGGGTTACTCTTGTGCAAAAGTCTTCAGCTTTGTTTATTTTCCATTACAGTTGGCTGTCTGTTCATCCAAGGCCAGATTCTTCCCTGAATTCAGCTTATGGCATGAGGCAACTTTTCAAGTAGATTTGTTGGTATATGGAATCCAGAAATCTTTCATTAGAGTTGTCATTTTAATAAATTTGTAGTGTGTTGTATGAAACTCTTAACATTAAAATGCTTTTCCTGGGTCTCTTGCATTCCTAGCAGAAGCATTAGCATTTCCACTTGCTTAGACATGGTAACATTAACATTGTTTTGGGCTTTTTCACTTATATCCTGTTTTATGTTGTAGCACCCTGTTCCTGCTACTCAACCGGCTCAGTGTTGTCGTTCTGAGCTGGAATGTCTTGGGTTTACCAAGGGAAAAATAGTTGTCTGAATAAAATGTTAAGTAACCGTTTGTTGAATGTGATCCAAACTTATGAAAATGCTAATTAGAAAACAATTCTCAGCAGGAAAGTAATTTATCATGTAAAAAGTGCATCCGAAAAATTACACCTGCTGACAAAAGGCTTTTGTGATACAATGTAATGTTAATGGATTTTTTTTGCTGAACTGAAGAATAATGAGTTTTATATGCAGCAGCCCAAGTTGCATCACAGTTTTGGTACTGGGACTGGGACTGTGCACCATGTTTGTTGGTGGGATGGCATGTACCCTGGCTGAGTTTATGGATGATGCCAGGGAAGGAGTAGTTAATAATCTGGAGGGCAGGGCTGGCAAGCGCTCAGCAAGCTCAGAGTGGGCTGAAGGATCCTCAGAAACTTCCACAAGGACAGGTGAAGTCCAAGCCTTGCACTACCACCTGCAGGCAGGCTGGCTGGGAGCACCTCTGAAGAAGAGACCCCGAGGATCCGGGTGAGCAGCAAACTGAACATGGACCAGTCAAGTATCCAGCTGTGTTAATCCAGCATGAGAGGCTGACAAGCTGGGAGACCTCAGCAGAGTGCCACTAAGCTGGGAGGGAACACAGTGTACCTGGCACATGAGGAGAGGCTTAGGAAATACATTTGTGTGGCCTGGGGAAATCTGACAGGCGCTCTTGCAGCCTTTCCTTGTGCAAGGGGATCTGAGAGATGGAGGTGGGTTCTTGAGCTGCCCAGTGAAAGCGTGTGGGCAGTGGCTGTGAGCTATGTCAAGGGGAGTCCTGGCTGGCTGTAAGGAAGAAGTGCTCGCAGTGACAGGGGTGACACCTTCCCCCTGAGAACCACTGGTACCCCAGAGGTTTTGGAATTGTGGTCATTGCAGAACGTGGCTGGTTGAGGCTCAGAGGAGCTTTCTCTAACGCTGGTCCTGGTCTGAAGTCTTTGAGAACACCAGATGTCATTCGTTCCCAACATGCATCAGTCTATGGTAATGCCTGGCCTAAATTTTCTTGACAATTATTATCAGCATCTAGTGGTGAAGTTCCAGCTAAACTCTGAGCACAGTAGAACTTTGAATCTTGAATTGTGCTAATTTAGAAAGACATAAAATTTTAAGTTAATACAAAATTCAGTATCTTTGATGTACATATTTTCATCTTGTTGCTGCCATAATCATCTTAGCAAATAGAGACTTGGCTTACAAAACCTTTGTCTTTAATTGAGAAAATTAAACTTCATTGGGTGTTTCAGCTGCCTCTGGAAAATATCTGGCCATTCTTTTTGTTTTAAATGTTTGAATGATTTAGATTTTTAGGGTCACTAGGTGGTTCTTCTTGCTCAAGAAAATGAAAATGTTTTGTTGAATATGCAGTTCTAAAATTATTTGATCTTTCATTAGCTCTGTGTACCCAAGTGGGTTTGTTTCTCTTCTCAGATTACATTTTGGACAGAGAATTGTGTAGTTTTATATGCAAACTCACTCAAAACCTTAAAATCTTAAATAAGAGATTATATTCCTAGTCAAGATGGAATCGAACTAATAATAATTTGTGTCTAAATCAAGCAATTTTAATTAACCATAACATTATGGTGAACTAACACTGTACTATGATAAATTACCTAAAAGTAATATTTAAAGAATAAAATTTAATTGTGTCATGCCACTGAACCTTTGGGGTTTGTGGGCTAACCCAAGCAAACCCATTATTTTCAGACTGAAATGCTAAATTAATGCTTGGCATCTTGCTGTCATGCAAAATGTTTCCATATTTTCAGTTTGGTTTCTTTCAGTAACTGGTTCATTGAAAGCTGAGAGAATTCTTGGGAGTTGTAAAGACGGAAAAACTTGGGTTTATTCGTTAATCCATGAATAAAAGCAGGTGTGAATTATGTATTAGTTCCACAGTTTTGAGGACCACAGGGGAAAAGAAGAATCAGTCCAAGTCAATTTAGGATAAAATTCCATGTCTTTAGTACGTTAATTTAAAATATAAAATATGATTTCTTTAAACTTTATATCATTTGATGTATTTTTATTTAATGGTTGATTTCCATCCAAAAACAGTTTGAAAAAAAGTAATAAATGAATCACCTATTAAAAAAAGAAATAACATTCTAGCATTTTCTAGAAAAATGAAAAGAAATAAAATCCCGACTGTATGCCTGTTAAATGGTATGAATTTATTTTATAACCTTGTGGTCAATAAAAAACAACATGTTGATTAATGTAAAGTCTTTATTTATTGGAAGACCATCTTAAATTAGAAGCTGAGTGTTTGAGTAAAGATCTCTTGCTTTATAAAACAATAGACAGCAATGCAGAATCTGAATCTAGAATTAGTATTTTGTGATACAATTTCAAACTGGTTGATTTCACTGAGAGCAGTGAATATAATTAAAATCTGTTGCTGCTCTCTTCCGTCAGTGAGTTTAAGGTGAATCCTTATTTTTAACTGTCTGGCATCTGTGTAATTAAAAATTCTTTATTTTTTGCAATAATTTTTATTTTTTTCTTCGCTGCTGAATTTAAAACTAACAGGGGAAAATTCTAGGGAGAAGACTTGCAGTCAGTCTTCTGGTTTATCTTTTGTTCCCTAAAAATGATTGCAATGACTTTAAAGAAGATTGTAATCTCCTCCCTTATCTGGTTTTGAGTTTTGTTTGTTTGTTCTGTAATGCCTTGTTATTATAAAAGCGGATTATATTTTTAATTTAGTTTTTCTCATGTTTTCCTTTCAAAATCCTTTCTGAATGAAAAGGATGATGCCTAGCTTCTAGAATGCACTCAAAAGAGGGAATTATATTGCTATCACAACGGGATTTTGTAAGGGTGATGACTCTACAAAACGCCTGGGATCATCAGACTCACTGATACTTAATTTCCCACTCCAGAGTACATTTGAAGCTTGTATTTCATATTTCTGAGTATGTTGATATAAAATGCAGATTATTTTTACTTTCACAGACATTTAATTTTATTTTAGAAGAGTTACATTTTATTCTATTTATTTGATCCCTTTTGTCCTTTCTCACTCCAATATATGGATTTCCTACAGTTATTTCTTTAAAGTGTAGATTTAAGTAGAAATATGGGTATTTTCTTAAAGCTTTACAATACTATCTGCTACTGTTATCAGTTAAGGGTTTGAAGTATTGGTTGATATCATTACATGCTGTATTGTATGTCATAATTAATTTATTGTGGAATGGAGGAGAGTAATAAGTGCTATATAATGTATTTCCATATTTTTGAGAGGGGGAGAATGTTGTTACCTAAAGATTGTTTTACTGTGTTTTGAAGTGTCTGGAGCCAAGGAGTGATTAATGGATATGAAATAGATGTTTTGTGAGGTTTTGAAACTCTGTTTTGTATTTTCATGAGATTGCAGAGAACTGGGTATTAAATCTCAGGCAGTTCCCCTCAGTTCTATATTCATATCCATGTATGCTTTTGTTGTCAGTGGAAAAAGGCTGAGTGGGTTGGGGTGTACTTAAGAGAAGCCATAGCTTGATGTAGTTTGGAATTTTAAGGTTTGATCATGGGGCATATCACTCCAAAATATTTTAAGTTTAGATATTATGTGTTGGTGTTTTGTTTATGAGTTGTAATTCCAATTAAAATCATCTTTATTAAAAGGTAAACAAAAGTGTAGTATTTGTAGCAACAATTTTATTATTCTTGAATAAATATCTCAAGGTCTATACAGCTAGTTTTTTAATTTAAAAAATATCTAAAGGAGAAATTCTGTATTCCAAGTATTTGCTAATAGGGTTGGTTTTTGGGGATTTTTAAAATCTGGTTTTTTATTACTGTGGATGGTAATCATGATGTTATTTTGGCATTCTATTGTATTGGAAATTTTTTTGATTTTTTCACAATTCTTTTGTAGGGTAGTTTTCTCCAAACAGGAAATTATGCCTATACGTGGGAAACATTAGTGTGGCTTCAGTTAAGGTGCTTGCTTTTGTAATTTTATCTGTATAAATTCAGTGTAAAACTCTTCAAACTCTACCACCATTAGTGATATTAAGCCAAGGGTACATTTATTGGTTTTTTCCAAAGTATTTAATGTATAATTTCAAAATTTGTTAAGCCAGTCTTCTGCATTTTTATTAATTGATGGAGTTTTGGAGCTTTCTTTTTCACTGTTTATAAGCCTTATAAAGAAATGAAATACATTTTATTTGTTACTATTTTCTAATGGTGTATTTCCACACAGGTGGAGAACGAACTTGTGGTGTACATGAACTGATCTGCATCAGAAAAGGTGAGCAACTATTTGTGAAAGTGAACTCCTTAGCTTGTGAATATTCCTGGTGAGACATCTGCTGCCCAGTGTTATGCCCTGACTTTTTGTGGATCTTAGTACTGCATCTTTGTGTTGCAGAATCTTTTGATGCTGACAATGTCAATAGGAAAAAATAGTGAAATTATAAAATAAAAATTGATTTTTCACAAGAGGGAAAAATGTGCTTTTCCAAAATTCACTGTGTTATGTGGAATTTGTTAATGTTGTTTAGCTGTGATGGGTAACCATGAAAACTTTGATCTTCACTTTATCCAGATATTTGTAGGATTATATTATTTTCATTAGTAATAGAAAGTTGTGAGGATGTTTTAAAAAACTGATGTAATGAACTGGCAATCTCTGCTTCTTATTTCAGGTAAGATCCTAATGACTCAAACTTCTTTGCAAACAGCTGCAGCAATAGTGAGACCAGCAACTGAGAGAGCACAGAGCAGAGCTGTGCTCCAGGGGAGTATGTTACACCTTAAAGCTGAGCTGCAGTGACTGAAGTTGGAGCTCAACAGAACAGCTCAGCTGATGTAAAGGCTAGATACAGTTCTGTTTTCTGTCCCTTTTGGCAGCCCTATGCTCCTTCCTGCAGCAGTGCTGTTGAATTTATGTCTTCTCATCTGAAAGCTAATTCAAAAAAAAAATAAGGTTTCTTCAAGGGTGAGTTCCTTGAATTGGGTCTCGGTTAGGTCAGAAGAGTCTCAGTGCTTTCAAAAGGAAGGAGTAAGAAAACGTGGTGGGAGAGGAGTAAAGTTGCAAGACTCTTTTGACAACTCTTTTGAGTGTTATACTGCCTCAATAGTATTGTCAAACCACATTGTACTCTGTGGGAAGAAGTTTTGCTTGTCCTCTCAGTTTCCATTGCATTCACTGAGACATTTTGGTAAAATTGTTTGGGTTTATTGAAACATTTATTTGACAATGCTTAAATTAATCAGAATTAAGCTTACCAGTTAAGGTCAGAATAGCTTTATGGTGACAAGTAATCTTTTCCAAGTATCTGTTGAAAGAATTTTTGAGTGTGTATGTGTTACAGTACTGTAATTAAGAACATTTCTCCGCTTCTCTAAACTATGAATCATTTAGATCTTGCTTTTATAAAATTCTTACTCATTTTGGAGGGGAGCAGAATTTTTTCTTTTTGTTGCTGTCTCACTTTTTCCCATTGACAGATAAGGTGGTACACACAGTGCTATGTATTCCTTCTGTAATAGCTCCTGTTTATCTTTCTGAATTGGAAAACTCATTGGAATTTCTGAAAGCCTTCTGATAAACTTTCAAGAGCTGTTAATCTTGCTAATCCTTGTTGATTTTAGAATGCTGTACTGATTTTAAGAAAAACAAATTTTCTGTGTTCTTGGAGACAGTGCTGTATGGTTTTAATGTTAATTGCTGGGAAGTTAAATTGAAAAGATGTGTTGTTTGTTTTTTTAAGATTCTGTGTTATGTTTGAGCATTGAATTCTAAGCTCTGTTAGCCATTGATACAATAAATTAAATAAAAATAGCATGGAACTTGTGTTTTAGCATTGGTGGTTATAAATTAGCCTAGGGGTAAGTGTGATTAAAAGAGAAATATCCTTTTAGTGCCATTTATACTTGCATTGTGTTGGGTTCCTTTTTAGGTCATATGAGTTTCCATGTATATTCTGACCTTGTGTGTCCCTATGTTACTGGCAAATTTCTCCTTGTGGTGCACGATTTGGTGCATTCTTGTCTGTCTTTGCTCTCTACTCGATGTGTACCTTTAAAGCAGAAGGTGCTTGCCGTTGTACTGCAACGTCTTAAATAAATAAGACTTTTGGTTACTTTATTTAAGACTTTACATCTTCTGATGCACATTCATGATGTTTTTGTTGTCTGGCCAAGGTTGGGCTCCTAAGGATCACTTTATTTGCCAGTTGTCCAGCTCTGCTTGCTTGGCAGGTTGAGATTGCAGACTCAAGATTTCTACTGATATCCTCAGAATAGGAAGGCATTTCCAAGCTGAGAGTTCCTGGCTATCAGCTGTCTCGAGCTGGTCAAATCAGACCTTCCAGCTCTGTCCTTAATGTCACTGAGTGCTCATGTCAAGCTTATACAGGATGGAGTTTCCCATCTCTTGGCTGTGCCCTGAAAGCTAAGCTGGTTTTTGGTCTGTGAGCTCACAGTAGAAGTTGAATGGACAGGTTAAGCGTTCACACTGACACATGGGTAATTCCCTGCAGTCTTGTCTGGTGCGGGGTAAGGTTGCAGTGTGCCCTTCTCCTTTTTCTCTGGTGTCTGTGTGACTGTGGCATCAGGAGAGTACATTCCAGCACTCCTGGCATTCATCCACTCCCTCATTTTAATCGACTACTATCTGTGAGGCTTTGAGAGATGGTGGTGTTTGACAAAATGGTTCTCCATTTGCTATTTGCCTGAAAGCCTCTTGTGCTTTCTGCCAGCGGATGGTGGGGAACTGTGACTGGCCTGTGACTGGAGCTGGAATGCCTATATGGAACCTCTGAAAGAAATATTAGTAGTAAATAGCCTGCAATAAGTAACTGGAGTTTTGCAGTGTACATTTGTGCTTTGCTTGTCTGTCCATCTTTGTTAAGTGCTTCCAAGTACATGGCTTTTGAGAAGCAACTAAGAGGATAAACAGTGATGTTTCATCTTTTTTTTTCCTGCACTGAATAGGGAAAAGGGAAAAGTAAGAATGCAAGCAAGCATGTGTCTTCTATGAATAATACATGGGAAAACTTTCTGGTTTCAAGTGATGGAATGTAATTACAATTTGTATGGGGATTATATGGCTTGAAGAACACCTATTGCTGGTGGTTAATTTTTCTTTCTAGTCAGCAAAGTAACGCATTCCTAAATTGTATTTTTCTTGCCCTTTCATTTTTTTCTATGAAAATAGGAACCTTGGTGTATCAGATGATGAAATGCGTAGAGGAACCAGAAAGGTCTTCAAAGCTGTGACTACACCATTTAGCTCAAATAACATAACGAAAACTTCTTGGCTGTAGTTGAAGGCATAGCTGTAAAAGCAAAATCTAAGCCTTAAAAAGGAAATGTCTGCTCTAAGATTATTCCGCAGTAAAAATGAAAATAACTTGAAACTCAATTTTCCTGTTTTTTAGGTTTTGTATTTCTCAGATTATATCAGTTTAAATGATAGACTCAGAGGTTTGCAAGTACCAGTTATAATGTTCATTGAATATCTGAGATTATGTCAGTTCTAGTGTAAATATGATCCCAGTATGGTACTGATACAGGACTCAGATTTGCTACCCAAAGATGTAGCAATTGTCGGGCACAGGCCTCCTCCTGTGTCACATTAATGTTATTATAGTTTTGTGGTTGCCCAAGAGAGACTGTGGTGGGTCCCCCTCTAGGCTGCACAAGAAGGATTGCAGTACTTTTACAGGTTTTTTAACTTGGTTTCTTTTTAGCAGATTCATACATTTTTGAGAAGAATCTGCAAAGAGCTGATCAGGAGTAAGGAGACTAATGGGCTTTTCTGGAAAGCCTTAAAAACTAATTCTTATGTATTTTTAAAGAGGCTTCCTCTAAATTCATAAATATAGGGAATGTTTGTCCTGAAAATGGGAGTATTTTGTGGCTGTTATATAACATCTAATAGCTACAAAGTACTGAACAAGTCACTTCACAGCTTGTAAAAAGAATTTTAAAGATGTATGACCAGCTATTAGGGAATCACCGAAATACGTGTCTCCTATGTTTAACATAGTTAAGTTGTTGAAGTGTTTGTGTGGTTTTATGTTTACACATTACAGAAATCTGGAAATTAGAAAAATGGAAAAGTAGATTCTTGCTTTTATTATAAATTAACATCTTTACTTCTATTATTTAATGCAAGTTTGTGTTTACACATTTCTGACAACACAAATTGAAGACTTGACTGTGGAAAGAAGAGTCCTGCTTAGTTTTTGACATCAGAAGGTGACAGAGTTTCTCTGAAACAACTCAGTTAACAGTTTGTGGTTTTGCTGGATATTGTCCTAGTATCCAGCTGGCTGTTTTTGAGAGAGTCAGGATATTTTTATAAGTTGTTCCTTTGGTTATTTGCTGTGGACAGACAAGAATTCAGGGAACTTGAGATTAGGCTTGAGAACAATATATCTTTTTTACCTGTATAGTGCAACTGCAAGTCTAACTTTGAGTTAGCTGTTGTTAGATTAGTAATATTTTAATTAAGGCTGTTTAAAGTTCTCTTTCTACAAACAAGAGAGATTTGTCATGAGTGTTTACGATATTGAGCTGTAACTGAAGAAACTAGTCTTTAATATATTCTGCTGTGTATTCATTGTGTGACATGGAAGTGACATTAAAGGAGAAAATATCTGGCTGTATTATTTTTAGGTTTCTTTCACCCAACATTTTTCACCTGTTTATTTCTGAAGTAGCGCAAAGTGATATTTCTAACTCAGCAGTGTGTTTTGTATTTAATTAATGGAAATGTAGATTGAGTATCCAAGTAAGGGCTGAGTTGCACAGAAGTTTAAAAATTATTTTTAAGCCCTTTTTTTCTTTTGCAAGATGTTCTTTCTTTTCTATTGTTGTGACAGTCTTGCAAACAAAGGAAATTATTCAGCAAACTGACTTTGTGACTAAGAATGGAACAAAAGTACTCTCTTTAATATGCAAAAGAGAAGTTGCAAAAAGACAATGTCTTCATCTGACAATGAAAAATGTCACTTGTAATAATAATTTTGAAAAGATAAGAAGGTGTGAATTTTTGCTTTGTCAGAAGTATGTTTTAAGTAGAACTATTCCTCTTTAATGTTCTGGTCAACTGTCCTTATCCTTTTGCATGTGTCTGAATGTTAAGCTGCCAAATGCACTTATTCCAAATGGCAAAAAGTAACATTTATTCATTAGTTTCATTTTACAGTAAAAACATTATTAAGTTGAAAGTCAACTGCATCTGATACTCAAGTTATCTTACACTATTTGTGTAAGTCTACACTAAGTACTCAGGAC